ATCCGGCTGAAAGCTCTAACTGTACCTGTTTCTCCATGCTACTTCGTTTGACTAAGGAATCTGATGAGCAGACTTCAGAACCCCTAATTCATTCTCAGCCAGTCATTACATGTGACAATGTGTCCATAGGACATGATGAACCAAGTGGAAATGAGACATCAAGTCAACTCTTCATGTCTGAACTTACAGACCATGGTAAGAATTAAAAATTTGATGTTGAAATGAAATTTCATTTCAAGATTAGATTTTGTTCCTGGTAGTTAATTTATGGTGGGGAAACTGCAGTATAAAAAATGGTCAGATTTGTAAAGTTGTCAAAAAAATTACAAAGAGAGAAGGAAAATAATCTAGTTGGAGGTATGTACAGCAAATGGACAGCAAGGTTACGTGGCAGGAGGTCTGTGTTCCAAGAATTTGAGTGACCTGTGAGCAGCGATGGAGGTGAATGCACCTTCTCCAAATGAGATGCTGAGTTAGAAGGAAATAGCTGTAACTTTGGACATATGAAATGACTGGTCTTAGAAAAACATTTCCTGCATTATCTCTCCAGTGCAAAAGTAAGTACAAGAATGCAGAGCGTTTGTACCATTGGTACACTTTGATGCCATTTTCTTTATCTATAACAATGAGAGAAGCAGATGGAAATTCTTTAAACTGTGCTTATCTATACTGTCCTCAAATACTTATCTACTGTCTAGAGGATACAAAGTACTGTATAACATGTACTTTTGTGTAGATAAATGAACAAATAGTCAAGCTTTTAAAAAAGAGTCAGACTGTGGAAATGTTGTGCTTAATGAGGAAGATATTTTTAAGAGCACATTTATATGTTTTGTTTCTACAGTTTCTGAAATAATGTTGTAGTCTTAAATATTTAAGAATCATTGTGTAAGCACTGTTATGGTGAAAGATTTTTAATCAGCTTAGAATCTTGCAAGTATGCATTAACACACTTTTAAGTATGAAAACTACTTTTCTGTAGTAGCTCTGCCTTTTAGTGAGGTGCTCTATGTCTGTGAAGGTATACACCATTAAATTAAAGGCATCAAAATTGATTTGTTTGTGGTAGGGGTGTTTTTTTTAAATAGCAAATAGCTTTTTTCTTTCAACATAACCTCATTTATGTCTATGTGATTGGCTTGCTATTTCACAGTATAAGGAGGGATGACCTGTGTAGGAGAGAAGCCAGCTGCTAGAAATACACCCCGGGGGTAGGGTGGGGAAGCTTGCAAATAGAGGACCCAGAGAAAGCAGTAAATGTGGGTGGGAGATGAACTAGGGGAAGCATACAAAGATATCTAAATAGAAACAGAACAACATGCAAATATTCTATGATTCTATGAAAGGAAAGAAACTGATGTTTGTTTCTTTCTGATGTTGGCGTTTAAGGGTCATTAAGCTGTTAAACTATAATGACAGAAATTAGATGCATTTATATCTGTGAAGCAAAATTTGGGTCGATCCATTGTATAAAACTGAATGCATGCTTAATTGCTTTTGCTAGAGTCTCTCACATTGTAGTGGTGGGCTCATGAGAAAAAGGAGTTATGGATAGGCAAGAGAAATCACATGATTTCTCTTCTTTGCTTTGTGAATACCTTGTTATTCCTGAAGCTGATGTCAAAACTCTTCCTTATTCTATTCAGTATTCATACTATTCTTTTCTTTAAACATTTCAGTGCAACCAAGCATGTCCTGCATGTCTAATTATTCATTAAGTTATTAATGGCACGTTTGTACTTGAAAATGTGTCTAATTATTCATTAAGTTATTAATGGCACCTTTGTACTTGAAAATATAGAAACAGTTCCAGTTATTGATTTTTCAATAGAATTTGATTCTTCATCAATGGGCTGTACAACAGAAAAAAAAAGAAGATTAGAAGCAAGGCTATAAAATGGTTTTATAAAGTTGTCTTACATGTTAATAAATCTGCTAACCCATACTAGGTTAGCAGAAGTTAGACTACAAATATCAGACTAACAAACTCCCTAACTAAAAACAGTTGAGGAAGGGGAGAAAGGCAGGAGATAGAGCATTCATGAACTCTTCAGCAGCAGAGTTACTTCAGAGCAGACCTAAAAAATCTTCTCAGGAATGGGAAAAGCTGGTGGGGAACAGCTAGGGAACAGTACCGCAATCCTAACAGGTAGGGAGGAAAGTTCAAACTATCTTTGGCTCATATCCTTCAATCCTTAAAAAAATTTGCAACATGAAGAGAAGAGCAGGGCTTGAAAGATTGAAAGACCAGGCTCTTAAAGGGTTAGAGGGAGGCGTAGAGAATAAAACACCTTACGCTTTGCTTTCACTGAAGATTACCTAAAGCATTATGAAACACAGTTGTATGTCATTGGGGAAGGTATCAAATACAAATCTCAAGGTTTAGCTTTAGTTAGTAGATTTAAAAACCATGGTATCTTGATCCAATTTTAGCAATGGTAGTTATATTTACTGAAAGCTGGGAGAAACAAGGCAGTGTAGATGAATAAATGAAAGTCATTATGACAGTTTGGGGTTTTCACCTTCACGATGAATGGGTTTCAGCAATGTCAAAAACATTTAAATGCAGCAGACTTCCCTAAGAAGTTTAAGCTTCTCTCCATGTTTGTTTTATGTAATCTTCAATGATCTTCTGAACATTTTTCATTCTAATTAGCACCCCTGTGCACTTGAGGAACATTTAAAAGAGTTGTCTGAAATAAAAAATTGCTGACCAGTTTGTTAATCTTCAAGCATGTTTTATTTTTTGGAGTATGAAAGAGATCTGAGTGGACCCTGTGCTTTTCATGTTGAGATTAACTCAGTCTATTACACAAAAAGTTCATCCAGATTGTGGATGGCTGGTGCAAGTTCTTCAGAAACTTAAAGGAATAATCTGATTCTTATTCTTACAGAGAAATGCTGCAGGCAATGTAAATACTATTTTTTAACAATAAAATTCAGTTAGTTCTTCAACATCACATTCCTTACTGTGCCATCCAGCTATACTATGCAGATTTATTCTTTTCTCATAGAGACTGGGAACACTGTTGAGTTCTATGGGACTGCGTGAGAGCATGCTTTTTAAATCTGACTGTTCAGATGTCACTTGCTAAGTCAGACCAGCTTGGGATGGCTGGTACACCTTGGCATGCCGTTGCCTTTCTCCCTGTTCACTTCTGGGATTCTGGGCACATGTTCTGCAGTGTCCTCCGTGCCTCAGCAGAAAGTTAAGAACTTGGGGAGGGGGAGAGATCAAAGAAACATGAGCTTTCACAGACAGAAATCACAGAAAATCATCCGTGCTTGCGTTACTTAAGCTCAAGAAGAAAGGGATCCAGTTTTAATCTGGGAGTGGGCAGCAGTGAAAAATTACGTGAACAGCAAGTTATGCTATTTTTGTTTTAACGAGCCAAGAGGGGAAGCTGTGCATTAAGGACACATGTTCCAGAGCCATTATCTTGGCTCCTGTTGGTGCTCTGCTAGAGACAAAGGGCTGTCCCCCAATCCTAGCACTTTCTCACCATTTGCTTCTGTTCCATGGAAAGAGTACAAGCTTCAATTTGACCACGAAGTCCAGACTGCGGCTACCATAGGCATCTACTTTTAGGCACTGCCCCTTTCCTAAAGAATTTGACCTGTTTTATACACTCTGGAAAGTTCCCCATGCTCCTCTCATAGAAAGCTGTTCCTGGGCCAAAATATTGCAGTGCTTGTGAACCTTTTTACTTCTGGCTGTTTCATGCCAACACTTCTAAGATGCATTGCCTTATTGCTTTGCAGCTTAAGTAGTTCTCTTCCTTCCTTTGCTTATTCTTCTCATGTTTTTATAGGCAGCAGTGATATCCTTCTGTGTAATACCTCTATATAATACTTCTGTATTATTCATACATTTTAACACTGGTCACTTTTAGCATACCTGAATGTTCCTTCCTTCCTTATTCCTTCCTTAAGGTGTTTCCAAGCTGTTATCTCCCAATTTGCAATCGATTATTTTGGTCTTAAGCTATAAAGCCATGACTCTGTTCTTTGAATTTTCTCCTTTTCCATATGTATGTTGTTATAATATCCTGGCCCTGTTTTGTATCTTTAATGCACTCCAGCCTGGCTTCTGGAAAGCAGTGCTGGGCATACAAACTCCAGGAGAGCAGACCCAGCACCGTGTTGCTTCTGCGCCCTTCCTACCCTCCTCGCGGCCAGCACGCTGGCCACCTTTGAAGAGCTGCTCTGCAGTGCTGGCCAAGCTTGCGGGGAGATCAAGTGTCCTTTCCTAAAACATCAGCCTATATGGTTAGAAGAACTCATAGCCACACAAGTCTGGGACGTTCTCTTTGGCATTCAGTGCCAGCAGGATAAGTAGGCAGGCACGCTGGGTTATTAGGGAATATCTCTGTAAATCTTCAGGTTCTGGGATTTTGCCTCTCTCCAGTTCCTTGATTTAGCTGCATTTTGCATGTGTGCTAGGGCAAAGGATTCTTCTGGTTTGGCTATTACTTCTCTCCACACTGCAGATCTTCAGAGAGTCATGGCAGGTGCGTAGGTAACAAACCTAATAGCGAAGGTTTAAAAACGTGCTTTAAATTTCTGTTTCCCTTAAGTTACTATAAGAAGTTTCTTAACAATTTCGCATCTTTAGTCAAACAAACTGGGGTAAAAAATGTTTCCTTTGTTTGTAAAAAGATAGGCAACAGAGTTGACTCTTAAGAAAGAGTCAGCTGGAAAAATTACTTTTGTAATTATTATTAACCATATTGAGTAAATGGATGAAGTGGATGTCAAGTGCCTCATTAGAATGGTATGTACTCTTACTGCATTGTTTCAGCTAATTAGACCACTAACGCATTCCTTGGAAATGTAAACCTCTGTCAGTATAAACCAATGAAAAATGGCTTTGCTCATTTGCAACTCTTTTATGTAATAGTTTTAAATGGCATTAAATTTTTTAGATTTGTTAATTGGAAATAAAACTTAAAAGAAACTATATTTTGATAATTAAATATTTATGGAAAGATACTTTATAGTTGTGTTTAATATTCATCGAAAAATGTTGATGTCCTCATCTTATGTGTCCAGGAGTTTATGGAACTGTCATCAAACAAATAATTTAAAACCAGGATGGACAGAGCAGTTAAGAATGTATTGTACTACTGGGAACAGTTTTGCTTTAGTATAGATAGCTTCATGTCTTTTCCATCTCCTGTTTCTCCCAGTACAAG